GCTGAACACCCTCTCAGACTTTCAGTTGCGCGCGCTACTAAAGAGACGTGCTAACATGGAAACCAAACAATGGTGTACCTGTATTAAAGTCCAAGTGGAAACAGTCGTGAGTAAATCTGATTTTGTCAGAAATCGGGAGGAATGCGGGAGTTTCCCGCGGAAATCGGGAGGGTTGGCAATTATGACACACACACACACACACACGCACACACACACACACACACACACACACAAAATGTTCGTATTTAGTCTCCTGATTTTAAATGCCCTAGTGTGGTTTTGTCACCATTTCTATTGCCCCACCAAAAATATTTTCCACCGGCCGCCACTGTTCTCGAAGTAATGAAGCTGCATTAAAACACTTTTGTTTGACATTTTGTAACCTCACAAAGTTGATAAGGCTAACATGTTAGCAAAATCCTTTCCTTTTACAGAGAAGGAGACACATATGAACATACTAATTCATTTAGAGTTTATTTAGAAGATTCTGATGATCCAATATTCTTAGCTCTGATGTGTTTTCTTTTTGGCTGTGAGCTCCACTCACCAGCTGTCACCAGCTACAACATTAGATTAGATTAGGATCAGAGGATGAAACCCTCTTTAATTGTCACACATGTTCATGCACACATTGAAATGTGTTCTCTGCATTTAACCCATCATAGTACTAGGAGCAGTGGGCACAGCGCCCGGGGAGCAATGGGGTTGGGGGAGATGTCCGGTGCCTTGCTCAAGGGCACCACGGCAGGGCCCAGGAGGTGAACTGGGAACTCTCCAAGTACCAGTCCACACTCCATATGTTCGGGACTTGAACCAGCGACCCTACGTCTCACAGTCTAAGCCTACTGACTGAGCCACTGCCGGGCAAATCATCAGGAGGTTGCATCCCTGACTGACCCATAAGGCTACACACGTTCAGGTGCAGGCACTCGTATTGTGAATGGATCATCCATGGTTAAACTCTACAATCCGATCTGCATCGCCTCATCGGCTTGCTACTCCCTCACTGCCGATTTGACCCAGGTACCCCTCAACAAAACACAAAATACAAAATTGCTTTCTTCTGCCTGTCCGCACCTTGGACAACAATAAAAAAAAACTTCTAATTTATATATGTAGCTCTTAAAGTTTGGATTATTTGTAGCCAATTAACCTGCACTTAAAGTTGTTTGGCTTATTTGAAGTTAATGTACTTGCAGGATTCTTGCTTTTTGAGTTTGTATCTGGTTGATTGCACTTATTGTAAACCGCGCTGGATAAAAGCCTAAGTTAAATGAAATGTAATGTAAAGAAATGTGTCTGTATGCTGATGAGTGGGTATGTTGGTTTCCACTTTTTTTTTCTGAAATTGGAAATTGATTAAATGTTGAAGGATGCTCCATACAGCTGATGGATTGATAATTATCTGTGTGATGTTACTTTGAGAGACCATTGTACATGACTCATATGCTTCAGAGACCAAATGCTTCCCGTTTTGGTGATTCGATCTCCCATGACGGTCAATTTTGTCAGTGCATCGCAACATAGCTGTGTAAAATAATACACTGATGGCACACATTAGTCTTACTCATGATGAGACACAGCCACATACAGTAATTGCACTACAGTGTTCATTAGAGTCCTCCTAGTTGTTGAAGCACAGAACAAGTTGAATTAACTGCATGAAAATGGGAGTGGGAGGAGACTAAGTCCATCAAAATGTTGTCTACAGAGACCTGCTGACCTTCCAAATTATGAATGCCATTGCTTTGGATGAATTGAAGAAGTCATTGGTCTGTGTTGTTGTTTTCCACTTGATTGTTGTTATTTTTTTATATCTACCCATCAGTTATGTTTTGTTATTCTTGTTTTGATTTCTCTTCAGAACAAGTCCGCCACATTTTTGCATAACTAAAAGCCTTTGTCCAACACAATGTTTTTGTTGTTGCAATTTAATTTCTCACGTATAAAACGACGCCCATGGTGAAATGAGAAATGGATCTTAAATTGAAATTGTATTTTTCATTATGCCTTCTTACGCTTGGCATAGATTGAGAGAGGTTACAGGAGCAAATGTCACTTATTGTTTCCACTGAATTCCTTTTCTCCCTCTAACACTCTTCTTTATGGATTTATTTGTTCGAGAGATGCAATCGTGTTTGAGCACTGTTTTCTAAGCCTATGGAATGGCTGCTCTGAGGGGACTCTGCCAGCCTCTCACAATAAATGAGATGTGGCATGACAATCTGTTGTAAAAGGTTTGAGTCATAATAGGTCCCCTCATACATAAATTACCTATTTAATGCACAGCTAATCATCCAGACAGACGGAGGGCAGCACCCGGCGGCAATGTGTACGTGTAGTTAGATTGAATGAAATGGGATTGACATCAGCAATCAGAATATAATGATGCAGGTCTGCATTTGTCTCTGAAGGCATTACTGTGAACTTGTTGCTGGGAACATGAATACACAAAGAAAAAAAACAGTTTTGGAGTTTACACGGTTGGGGAAGCCATATAAATGTTTTTAATGTAGATTTAGTACATTCTTTCTTCTACAAAAAACAAACCTTATATTTCTCAGGAGTGAAAAGGATGTACCTCTGCTTTGGCCCTTACAGACTATTTGTAGACACACTCCATAGCAGTTCTGGGATAGTGAATCACATCATTATCTGGCAGCCACTATCCGACTATCAAGGAATCTCTGTCTGTCTGCATGCTGTTTTTGTCCTTTGCATATCTCAAGAACTATTTATCCAATCTACTTCACACTCAGCAGGTGTATTGCTGGGACCGAAAAAAGTAAAGGTTCTTATTTGGAGCAATTTCGACACACAAGAGACATTCAATATACTTTCAACAAGAAAACAGCGCAAAGTATGGGTGGGGATTTTGAGTGCTGGAGACTGAGATTAGCATGTCGTTCACAGGAAACACTTTCAAACTGAGGCTCATTGACTGCTGTTCACTTTTTCTGCTCATTACAAATGAGCTCTTCTTCACCATACTAACTTTAAAAGTGATAAAACAGCTAAGCAATATTATATTATCTTGAATATTATATAATAAATTATGCCTAAAAATGTTAGGTCCATGGAAGGGAATTATCACTAAGTATTCCATCCAATACTCTGATCTCCAGGAGAAGGGATTCGGTGCTGTGACACAGCCTCAGGGTTCTGGTCAATCCACTCCTAATGAATGTTGGCCTGTGGATGATATCCTGATGACAAAAACTAATTCCATATATGAGTTCTTAGAGCTTTACCGAATGCAGTCTATACATGGGGGATGAATTTTAGGCTTTGATCGGATATTCCCCTTAAAAATATTTTCAGGGTCTGTTTTTACCTGCCCACTCTTAATGATGTAGCCCAGAAATGCAACAGATTTCACATGGAGTTTGCATTTCGTAATTTTTATTGGATAACTTGCTTGATTTACTGTATGTGTTCTTCCCTGATCCAGGAGAAAATGAGGATGTCATCTAGGTAGATGGAAAGCAACCATGTCATGTCAATCCAAAAGGTATGCAAGATACTCTAAGTGTCCAATAGGGTTTTTTTTATATATTCTTCTATTCATCCTCTCCTTAATCAGCAACAGCCTGTAAGCATTGCAAAGATGAAGTTCATTGAATATAGTGGTTCTCTGCGGTGGTCGAAAGGAAAATTAATCAAAGAAAGGGGATCATTGTTTTTAACAGTTATGTTGTTGGATACCTGTTTTAAATGCAGGCGCATAATACATGATGATTCTTGTAGACAGAAGAAACCAGCACCCACAGGGGAGGATAAAGGTCCTCAATTAATACAAAATGCTGCAGCACAGGTTTGAACAGGAACAAAGAAAATGGACCACATCATTCCTGTTTTAGCAGCTTTGCACTGGCTCCCTGTTAAGTCCGCTTTTAAAATACTTGTACTTACATACAAAGCGCTCAACGTTCAGGGACCATCCTACCTTCAGGATCTTTTAATCCCCTATTGCCCCTCTAGGGCATTAAGATCCCAGAGTGCAGGTCTGTTGGTTGTTCCCAGAGTCCACAAAATAAGATCAGCTTGCTAGAGCTTTCGGCTATACCAAGGTTTCGGTAAAAATGGTTCATATAATCAGTTAGCTGAGTTTCTTCCCGTTAAGTGAGTATGACACATGAATAGTCTATTACATTTTAAGAAGCCCTGAGACACAGTTTCGTGAAAAAAAAAAACGGGGGGAAAAGCCTAACAGGTTAAATGGGAATTAAATCATTTGAGTGTTCCCAAAGCCCCGGTGTTCTGCAGTTTGTGTGGGCCTACTGTACTGTACTGTTGCACAGTTTACTGTAGAAACTATGTCCAGGACAAGGTGTTTGGAAGTTTTGGAAGATTCATAGCTAACCACACTGAAGATTATGGAGGTATTGATCAGTCTTCTCATATTTTTAAGCCTCAATTTGTCCTCCCCCCCCCCCCCAACATCACCAGGACAGTCCTAATTTTAAGTGTCATTTCTCCAACAAGCGTGTACCAGGGGACATCCCCCCCGGGACCACCCTATATTGTTTGTTCACGTATTTCCACAGCCCCACCTAAAATATTTTCTCACCCAGCCGCCACTGCCTCTGAGACAATATTGATTTAAACTGATTTTTTTGTTGTTTTATCTGAGTTTCAAACCAGGGGTCACTCTGAATACCTTGAGGCCCTGTACGGTTCGCAAATACATTATATGTTAATATTACATATCTAATTATCTCATTACCAGGCATAAATATGGAGCCACCACCTAGTAGCTTCTCTCTAGGCATGTCCCCCACCCCATCCTGTCACGGATTCATCTGTGGAACACCTGTGAGTAGGAGGTCACGCCGCCCCAGTGGATTCCCCTCCCGCAGATGCTTTGGGGACCCCCAGTATCAGAGGGTTGCCCCCACTGAGGGGGCGTGTGCGATGTCACCAGACGTCGTTCTTGCCTCTTGGGATCTAAGACGAAGCGAAAACGAAAATGAAGCACAATCTCCTAGTGTCATCTATTGTAAATAGAGTTGAATCAATGTTGTTGTTTTACTTTTCATTATTAGGTATACTTTATCCACCATCTGGTGCAAAGGATATCGATGGAGAATCTAGCCTTTCGGCTAATTTGAGTAGCTTTAACATTTTTAATATGTTGATTAATGTACACTCCCTTGTTTTAAATAAATAAATTCAATTCAACGAGCTGTTTTGGGGTCAGCATAGACAGGTCTTCGTGTTAGATTTTACTCCCATACAGGAGTACTTGAGGGTTTGTTGACAGACCATTGTTTACATGCATAAAAACCTTCATTAACACACAAGGGAGACGCGGTAATAACCCGAAAAGGCGAGATATGGGCCCTTAACTGCCACCGACATGAACGGATGCGGGTCTCTCGAGCGCGTAAAAATTCTCGCAATGGGGAATATTATTGCAATCAGTTGAAAGCTCTTTGCGTCTGTTTACTGAGAGCTGAAGGAGACTGCGGTTGCGTCACAAGCTTGCACGCCAAAGGACCTGACCAAGCGTCGCTCCTGGACGGTTCAGGCGAGTGAGATCTGTGTTGCAACTTAGTGATGGAATTATGGCTCTTTGAAGGGGCCGGATCCTTATGGCTCCGTTCCGTCAGAAGACGCTTCAAAAGAGCCTTTTTAACGGGGCGAGTTACTGCAAAATAATCAACAGATAAGATTGACTATGTAGTGCCCAGACCTAATGTCAATAATCTGCATTGTAAACATGACACAAGTGGGCCCATATCCGATGTCATTCATGGTCAGTGAAGTGTACTACTTTGAATTTACCCCTCTGTATGTGTTAAGTAAATACATTTGCCTCGCCTTGAATGAAATTCCACGCAACTCTTAATGTTAGATACTATGTTTTTAAGTGGCGATGAGATTTATTTGTATTACCCCTGCTTTAAGTAGAGCATTCTAAATGTAAATGACTGTACTTAGTGATGGCGGGCTGGGGTGAGCCATCTTAAGGACCCCCAAAGCGCGTTTACATACTACCATTCATTTCACCATTCCACACCCCATCATACAGACGAGTGTACCTTACGCTAGGACCTAACATCACACACCATTCACACCACTCGTTGGCCATGCCAGTCGGACCACACTCAGGGTGTAAGTATCTTGCCCAAGGCGATACATCGACGAGTTGACTTGCAGGGGCGGGATCGAACCCACAACCCTTCTGTTGAAAGTACGACAGTCGCCCGATCCCTCACAGCAAGCGCCCATCTAGCAGGTTGTTTTTTTCTACATTTATTGCTGTAAACTTGCTTGAAAAATTACGAATAAAAAAAGTGAATGCTAGGATTTGANAATGCTTTTTCAACATTGACATGATGTCAAAAACTGTGCCTCCAACTTCTGGACTCTGGCTGATCCATTATTACTGACCTTAGCTGCTTTCACACCAAGTACTTTGCCGTACTTAGTGCCAGCACTTAGTACCCTCATGGAACTAAGTACAGATCGCGTTCACACCGGAATAAGTTCCCTGAGGGAAGATTAGGCAAATTAAGCCGCTGACGTAACTTCTTCTTCTTCTGCTTTGGGTTTACTGGCAGGCCGCAAACAACTTCACGGCGTATACTGCCACCCGGAGTCCCCGGCCGGAAGTCCCCGGAGTCTGGGAGACCCAGCAGCTTCTACTGAAGCCTTCAGAGTAAATCGCCAGAACGCCGACACCTCCTCATCTCCACCGCTCCCATGTTTTTCTTTTGTGTTGCCATAAGTTAGTCTCTCTCCGTTGGTGCGCGGGGCTAATGCTAATGCTAATAATGCTAATGCCAGCAAAAACAATGGCGGCTTCACGAAAACTTTTCAGAGGCGTGGTTTGCAATTCGCCCAGCCAATCGAAATTGGTACTTTTTTCTCCCTAGGAAAGTACCACCTCTCTAGCAGGCACTAAAAATGGGGGTAACATTTTTCGGAAGTAAGTTCTCTTTTTGGTGTGAACGCAAAATTCAAGGCACTAACGGAACTAAACGGGAAAAGTACGGGTAAAAGTACTCCGGTGTGAACGCGCCTCTTGTCATGGTTTCGAAAAGTCAGAGAATATCATATTTATTTTATTATATAAATGAGTTGAAAATATATTTGTTCTTATTTTTATCTAAATTCCAAGTAAGAAAAACCACGGATAAACGTTTAAGCCTGTGTCCACTTCACATTCAGTTAATAAAACAATATAAGTAGATCTGTTTCAAAACATACAATTCAAAGTTAGTAGTCGGGTTGTTAAAGTGTTATATTGATGGACAGATTACATATGTTTGAAAAGTCCTTAGCGAACCACAATAAAGTGTTGAAGCCTCTTAAGGGCCACGGGGCCTGAGACTGCTGAGAAAACCAAACAGACACAGAGAGAGACATTAGTTACGTTCAAGAGTAAATAAAATAAAGCCGGTGGAGAAGATAAAGCATTTCACTATTTTACTGCCCTCGCTGCTCTAAAGATTATACCACGTCTTCAGGGGAAAATAGCTTTTAGTCTAATTCTATTGCCATTCACTGTAAGAACATCTGATGGATGTTTCTGCAAGTGAACCAGAGACAAATGGAAATGTACTGTTGGGACACACAGCGTTCATATATCCAGCCAGAGGGAGTGAAAAATGGACATGAAATGGTCTTAATCCTATATTGGCTGGAGCCATCACCTCCATAAAAAGAGTGGGGGGGAGAAAAACTCTTGGCTGTGAGATTTATAGACAGAAAACAGGCCCTGTGTGACAAGAACCTGAAGCAAATTCACAATCCTTAATCACCAAATTGGGAGTTATAAATTCAGTGGGTTTTTAATAGGCTGTCGACACCGGGGCAGTACATGTTTATAATGCCATCTCATTACATGTTGTGTATCACAGTGAGTGTTGATCTTAATGTCTGGATATAATGCATGTGTGCTCACTCTTACTGTACATCCCCGTGTCGTTCTTCTTGTGTTAGCGGGAGCATTCGTTCATGCGTGTGTGGCCCTGCAGTCAATGGCCCGTTGCATTTTCCCCCGATGGCTGTGAAGGAGGGAAATGACCTTTAATATGCCCAGCCTTCTCCCCCAGTCCATATTAATGTTAATCTATCAGACTTGGAGTCTCCCTCAACATACAACGCCGCCAATGTTCCCGGGGCCTTGGGGTGCAATCAGCGGTGTCGGAGCAAGCTGTGCTCACTGTAACGATGGGAATTCAAATTAAAAAAAATACACAAGATCCCCTGCTGATTTCTACAGTCGAACAAGCCGAGTCAAAACATTGAGGGTCCCTCGGAAGAAGAAGAAAGAAAGATGAGAATATGGAGGACAGTTTTTCAAAGATGGGAGGTTAGGACTGGACTTAAACTCCCTGTACATTTTACATTCATGTTCTATTTAGCTTTGAATAATCCTTTCTTGCACAAAAATATCCTGCATTATATTTGTTGCTGGAAATGTGTATTTCCACTTTTCCACAAGTATATATATATATATTTTTTAATTTTGTATTCTTGAACTTTTTACATTTTTAATGGTATTTTATTTCTATTTCTGAAATATTTTGGACTGTTTATTTCTTGTGTCTTAATTTCTCTTAAGTACATTGCCTTGTTTTTTATGCTGCTGCAACGCAAACATTTCCCAAATTGGGATCAATAAAGTACTTCTCTATCTATCTATCTATCTATCTATCTATCTATCTATCTATTATATATCTATCTATCTATCTATCTATCTATCTATTATATATCTATCTATCCATCTATCTATCTATCTAACCATCCACCCATCCATCCATCCATCCATCCATCCATCTATCTATCTATCTATCTATCTATTTATCTATCTATCTATCTATCCATCCATCCATCTATCTATCCATCCATCCATCTATCTATCCATCCATCCACCCATCCATCCATATATCTATCTATCTATCTATCCATCTATCTATCTTTCTATCTATCTATCTATCCATCTATCTATCTAGAGGTTTTCTAAAGCTTTAAAAAAGGTCAGTATTGTGATGGGAAGAAACATTCTGTTGTCCTTAAACACCTGCTGTCAAACTGTCTTTGAGCAAGACACCTTACTGTATCAACTTTTTCATACAATGGGTTCAGACCATTGACCATCAACAAGTCATTTTAAATGAAGGTTGGTGAAATTAAACTAAACTGAAACTGATGTTCGTCGCTACAAATCAAAGTTATATTTACCAATTGTGGTAGAAAACTGAGCACCCAGAGACAATTTAACAACCACATTTGACTTGTAAAACACAAGCCCCTCTACATCTGCAACATTAAAGATGGCTTTGCTCACAGAACTTGCAGATAGTGTTAATTGTTTTAGTTGTGTTAGGTGAGAGAGGAAGCAATGCAGTTTTTCAAATCAAGAAAATCCCAATTGCTACATATTAAAGGGGGCTTATTAAGCTTTTTGGGGTTTTCCCTTTCCTATAGTGTGTTATATAGGAACCTAAGCATAACATGTCCTCGTTAAATGTTATGGTCAAGGTCAAAGAAGGTTTTTTGGGGTGGTGACAAAATCTAAACCCTAATCTTCGGCCCATGTTCTTTCAAAGAGAAGCTCAATGACGGCCTCTAAGGTCTGCAGTGGTCAAGTTGACTTCATCCATCACTGTTAAAGTATCCCTTTGTCTATCAACGTTTAAAAAAGGCCTGTTTAAGCTAGTTCCAGTTGCTAAGCTATGATGCAGAGGAGAGGGTTAGTGAATGGTCAATTGTCCTCTTTAAGCTGCAGTGGAGCCTTGAGGTTACATTGGTCAGCTTCCACAGAAAAATGTATTTACCTGCGAGAATATTTACCCAAGAATTGGATGCTCAAGAGATATTCAATTAGAAGCACGAAGGAACCTCCAAAAGCTGTTGGCCAAAGTAAATCTGTACATAAATATGAATTCTTCAGCGACAAAGAACGACAGCCCGCTCCGTTTTGCAGGAACGAA